GCAAAATCTACAAGCTTGGAATACCTCTAAAAAAGCCTAAGTTGGGGCCTCTATCCTACACATACTTAAGAAAAAAAATGTAAAAAAAAAATACTAAAAATATTAAATTAGCAACACTTTATAGGAAAGTCATATTTTATATTATATTTTTTATTATAGCACATATATATTTAAGAAAATATTTCTGTACCATTAAATAAAAAAAGACTTGACAAAATAGAAACTATTGGGCCTACACCAGTTCATCTCACTATATAGTGCTTTATTAATGGAAACTGAATTGTTCCGATCGCAAGGAATGAAAGTACGTAAAAAACAAAAGGTTGAGCCCATTATACTTAGGAGCTAGCAATCTTTGAGTTATAATGACTTACAAATTGTATTTTGTTTTATACAATGTCCATAGAAGCTTCCTGAGCATTACGATTTTTCAGGACCTACTGCAATCTAAATGTACTTTTCCATTTTTTTTTTTTGTAACCTTAACTATATGCCTTTAAAGCAAAGGTGCTAAAAGATTCTAGACCTTCAAGTTTGGCTGCATTAAATAAAAAAAAGTTTGCAAAACATATGTGACAATTCATCAACTATTTATAACCCTGAGGCGGGTGGAAAAGTTTCAGCGTTTGCTTTGTGTCAGAATTCTTCAGTTTAAGTAAGAAAAAAATATATATATATTGCGAGCTTCAAAGCTTATTGTTTACAGGTTGATATAAACATGAATACACAAAGGTGGAAAAAAAAAAACCAGCAACAACACCAATCCACAAAATTAAATAAAGTAAATAATAAACAGCTAAAGATTCAGGCTAAACGTGAATAAATATATAAACGTTAAATATATAAATATCAGAATTGTCAATACTGAAGAAAATTAATGCTTTATTTTTATTTTTTTTCCCCAAAGCTCAGTAAACAATGTGCTGCTATAACTAATCCAAAAAATAATTTGCAGAAATACCCCAAAAAACGATGCTCTCAAGCAATTTCCATTGTGCATTCTGATAAAGGGCCTTGCTCTTCTTCACTGAGGGTGCCAGCTTTGTATAAAAGGAAGCACGTTCTAAATTTACAAGTGGCTTAGAAGGGGGGAAAAAAAAAAAGAGTATACATTTTAGCCCCAAACATTAATTATTCAGGAGCTCTGGCTAGACTACAGGGCAAGCTCGGTTTCAAGCACCGGTTAAAAATATCTGCAAGGAAAAAAAAAAAATCACAACAATTCACAAAGGTTGAAAAACGGCAAAGGACGCAAACTCCCACCACCTAATCAAGAAGTTTGCATATTACAATTGCTCAGCAAACTTTCACTCTCGACGACGTGAAAGTTTTGATACAGCACTAAACCAGCCCCAAAAAGTTAAGTTCAGTGAACACAAGCAAGGCCCGTATAATCCTGGGGAACACATTTGCACTAAAAGGAAGGCTCCCCCCCCATGTTCCCGCAAATTCGAGCACGAATATCCAGTTTAGAACAAAATGCCGAAATGTAAGTGACAATAAAATGTCACCATGCTTTAATTTTGACACGCTCGAAGCCCGAATCATTATTTAAAGCAGACAGCTGTACTTTCTAAGCTGAACTAGGCTGCATTCTTGCAAGTCTATGGTAAGGAGTTTGGGGTCTGAAAAGGTTTGCAGCTTTTACCTATA